CGGCTCATCCTGGCGTGCCCAGGGTCGGGGCACAGTGTTCGAGGCCACCTGGCGCAGAGTATCCATCAGGTGGCCAGTTAAAGTGATCGCCGTCGGGAGTTGCTAGCCAAAGGGCAAGGGTGGGAGGTCATCGGTAGCCACCCCCCAGGCTAGGTATGTCCATTTCGTCAGCAGGAGCCTGACAGGATTTTCCAGCCTCCAACCTAAGGTGCACACAGTAGTTTTAGAGTTCCCGATTCTAGCGAGAGCACACTAACAGTGCCTGCAGGCAGGGCCCACGGCTAGTGGCTTGGCTGAGGTTCTGGTTAGTTTGAAGGCTCTTTTGAAGAGCTGAGCAAAAATTACTATTTCGTGTGTGTTTGTTTATTCTGGGACAGGTGGAGAGAGCACCCCCGAAGGGGTCCAGCCTCTGTCAGCGCGGTCCTGGGTACACACCTGTGCCTAGGGAAGGCCTCTAGGCAAACTCGGACGCTCCCTGTGTCGGCCTGACATTTTCCCCTGCGGACCCTACTTTTAGTATCATTCTGGGTCACAGGCTAGTGGGGTGGGAGGCGGCAACTGTGCTTATGTGGATAAACGTGGTTTGCAAAATTAAAATATGTAATTACATTATTTTAAGTACCTTGAAATAATAAATAATGACTAGAAACCTTTAAGAAGTACTGGAGTTTGAAGCAAAGGGATGTTGAGTTACGGGATTTAAAACAAGACAGTCACTGAAGAAAATTGCCACAGCTAAGGAGCGGGGGTGCCTTGGCACTGGTGGAAATGGCGCACTGTCAGATGTTTACATAAATGAGATAGCAGCAGCTAGTGAGCGTCTAGATGGGATTCAGAGTTGTTCAAGGATTATTAAAAACGTGCAATAATCAGGGGAAATGTAAAATCTTGCATATAAATCTACAATTACAAAATACCTGAGCAAAAAAGATGAAAGAGTTCTGGGATATAATTCTCAGTGGAATTGATTCAGGAGGTAGATTTCCAGGGAACGAGTTGTCTTACTGCTGTGTGCCAGGTGAACCTCACCTGGAGTCCTGAGAGACCCTCCAGGAGGGTGAGACGCCAGACAAATGTTGGGCAGATGGGTGCAAGGACCCTGCTTGCCTTTTCCGGAGACCTAGTGGGTTAAACTCATGCCAGGCGTGTGTGCGTGTGTTCCCAAGATCCCGAGAGGAGAATGGAGAAGGCATTGCAGCATGGCCATCCCCACCTGGGGGGATTTCTCGCTTTCTGTCTTTCTGGTGACCACACATGCCCTATAGCAAAAACCTCTCAAAAAAAAACAAGCAAACAAAACAGTCCTGCAGGGTCATGAGACATCTCTCCCACTGGGAGGTGAATATAAGAAAAAGGTAGATGGCTCTCATACAGGGAACATCTACTTGGGACTTCTTAATAACAGATTAAAGGTCAGAAAAGGTCAAACTCAGAAAATATGTTAAAAAATAAATAAATAGGGGGTGATTTCTTGCTTTCTCTGTCTCTGTCTGGTGAGCGCACGTGCCCTATAGCAAAAAAAAAACCTCTCAAAAAAAAAGAAAAAGAAAAATAAATAAATAAATAAATAACCTTGAAACCCAGATAGTCCCTGTCCCGACCCAGGCAGGACAGTCGGACAGGTTTCCTGAGGGAAGTAGTGAGAGTCAGGCATATTACAGCTCTTCAGGGTTGTCTGGCGATTGTGGGCCAGGGATCGTGGTTATATACATGTTGGTGGGCGGTGATTGGTTAAATGAAGGATTGTAAAAGGTGGGTTATGATTGGTTGCTTTTGTGGACCAATCATGAGGTGCCGGATATGCAAATCTGAGGGATTCTAAGCTCACTGATTTGCTATGGGAAGTGGCCAATCAGAGTATGGTTTTGAAGGTGAGGTTTTGAAGGGGAGCCAATGGCCTTTGTCATTGTGTAATTGTTTGCTCTCTGAGAAACCCGCGATATTAGCTGGTTGGTAGCCTCCCACAAGTCCCAAAGATGAAAATCAAATCTAAAGATATATAATTAGTGGAAGCTCAGTGAGGTAGCTATTTAGAACATTAAAAAAATAATAACTTTCAGGTATACTGACAACACTTACTCATTAAATAATGATAAACACTGAATTTGTGGTGGGCATTGGTGCTAAGCACTTCAGTTTGTTTTCAGTTTGCCAGAGGGTGTGCACATTCACCAGAGAGGGACAGGAGAGGGAAATGGTCATGCCACAGTCCCTTTTTTCTTTCTGGACATGTTCCCAAAGCCACCTGGTATAGGACTCACAGTGCGATTAATTGGCCACGTGGAATCCAGGTTCCCCAACACCAGGCCACAGGCAGGCCCTGTGCTAAGAAATGCATTAGAATTGTATGCATTAGAGAACATCATGAAAAACTTCCAGTCACATTAGCAAAAGGACATTTTAAATACCTAAATGGAACATTAAGTCCCTGTAGAACTTCGTATGAATTGACAAAATTGTTGACTAGTTCATCTGGAAGAATAAACATTCAAGAACAGCCCAAAATAAGAATAATGAGGGTGAAACTGTGCTTCCAGAAAATAAAACCTAGTATCTAGGCTCCATAATGAAAACTACATGGTACTGGCCCAGCTCGGTGGAAAGTCATCGATGATGAAGATGGCTCCCAGCAGATACTGGTGCACGGACCAGTCCCCAGCTGGTACACCCATGGGCAGCCCGTTCCAGCTATTCTGACGGGCGGCCTGCCACTCGGTCAGCGCTCGTACATACTATGTTAAATATCACCCCATAAGGATTTAAAATATAATAATCAGATCAGAAAAGACAGAAGAGGACCTGCTAATCGTTCGGGGAGAAGAATAAAGTAGTTCCTCATCAGATAAAGATTTAGTGTAAGAAGTACTGAAGAAAAACTGTTAGTGGACACCCCTAGAGGGTTATGCAATAGAATACCATCAGCGGTCATAAAGAGAAATGTTGATCATTTGACTGAGGTTACAATTAGCATTTTGGGTACAATTAGGAAAATAGACAAACCCAATTGTGAATTACAAAGAAATATTATCAACAATTGAAAATATAAAGGATGGTGGGTAAATGTCAAGAACAGAAGTCAGAGACGAAAAGAGTATGTGCTATCTGACTCGATTAATACGATGTTCAGGAGCCAACCGAATAATCTGTGGGGACAGAAAAGAGTTGTCTCTGAAGGGTCGGAGTGGGCAGAGAGATGACTTGGGGAGGGCACGAAAGCCCCTCAGGGCAGCGGAGACCTGTGACACAGGTCTTAACTGGGGTGTGGCCCTGCACAGAATCAGCAGCAAAACACCGCCTTCAAGAGCTGACCTTTCCCAGGGAGATCTTACCTCAAAAGAAAGCCTCTGGAAGCTGTAGCTGCTCAGGTTTGGAGGGAGGGCAGGCCCGTTGGTGCAGCAGAACACAGATAAAAGACAAAACAAGTGGGGAAGGCGTTCGCACCACATTTCATGCAGGCTCATCTCCACGAGTAAGACGACTTTCGAAGCTGCGAGACAGAGATGAACATTCCAAAAGCAGAGCAGGCAGAGACGGGGACAAATGCCCAATAAACATGCCGAGATGTTCTCTTCTTCATAGTGAAAGGCACGCAATGCTTTATAGACGCAAATGAGAATAAACACCACTACACATTACCGAGTGTCAACTGATGGAAACTGAAGACAGTTACTTAACTGCACAAAACCTTAACATTTTGCATGTCATTTGACCTAGTGATTCTAATTCTAGAACTTCCTTTTCATAAATATGGATGTTGATAAACACCTAGTGAATAGGTTCACAGAAACAGTGATCTGTAGGAAAACACACACGTGCGCACGCACGCACGCGCGCGCGTACAAACACACACAATGCTAAGATAGCAAAGGAGACAACAGAGGTTGCAACAGATATGAACAGGGCAAGGGGAGCTCGTAGCTCATCTCACATTTCTTAGACTCTTGGAGTCTTCAACTCTTCTGCCCTTGAGGCTTGCTATAATAATTGGTGGGAAAATGGAGTTAAAATACTAGTTTATTTTGTTGCAAGAAATTAAACCCATACATAGTTTTTTCATAGTATGCATTTTTCACTTTTTGAGAACTTCTCATATGTAAGTCTACAAAAGTACAGACTTTATATTACAGAAAAAAATTCACTTTTTAGTTTTAAGGAGGAAGGACTGCAAAACCATTACAATTTGATGTAATTTTACAAATTGAAAACATAGACATCAAAAGGATAAGGAAATGTATATGTGAAACTATTCCTAGAGCACTCTCAGTAGTGCCCTGCACGGCTGAACAGTGGAGACGCATCTGGAGAAGCACGTGGTTAGGAGATGCGCCTCGCAAGTGTCAGAGTACACTTCCGCAGACCCAGAAGTGCCAGCCTTCTACATGCATCGGCTGTGTTCTATGGCTTACCGCTCCTGTGGGACGGTGCTGTGTGTGCAGCTGGTCGACCAGAACATCACTGTGCATGACTCTATTTGGAAGATGAGAGATTGTTTTCTTTTTGTTCATCTCAGTTTTCTAAATTTTTCAGTGAAAACATATTAATATATTTTTTTAATATTCTAAAAGGGCCCAGCCTCTGTGCCACACTCAGTAAGTTACCACACTGCAGAGCTGGAAGCCACGTAGGGTTCAAATCTTTGAGCTGACCATCTTGAAGAAATCGGACGCACGAACATGTTCCCTGAACCCTGGCAAGATTGAGGACTGGAGGAAGAGGGCCATGGCATAGCCAGGCCTGTGGAGGGTCATGCATACATCCTCT